TTTTTTTTTTTTTTTTTTTTTTTATAAAATGTAATAATAATGATTTAAAATAATACTTATATACAAATATTAATATAAAAAAAAAAAAAAAAAATAAATTATATTTTTTTAAAATAACGGAGTATAATGTATCTATAAATACCATAAAAAGTTATTTATATAAAATTTTTTTTTCACATTTTGTAACACATGTATTACACACATGAAATATGTTTTTTTTTAATTATGTTTAAAGAAAATACATATGTATTTTTCAAATTTTTAGAAGAATATTACAGAAACATACAAAAGTCAAAAAATCTAATGGTAGAAAAAAAAAAAAAAATATTTTTATTTCTAAAAGTATTACAAATTGATATACTTTGTATGAAGTATAACAAAAAATTGAGTATATAAAAAATATGTGTATCTATTTAAAATACTAAAATATTCAAAAAAAAAAATATAAGTAACTTTAAAAGATATATGATTAAAATTTAGAGCACACTTTAATATATATACATGTTTAAGTGCTTTTAGTTGAATGATAAAGTTCATAAAAACACAACTAGAAAAAATAAAGGATTAATAATTTTTTATATTTTTATATAAAATATGGAATTTTTATTCAGATACATTATTTTATTTTTTTCTAGTTTATACATTATTTTTTGTTTTTTTTTTTTTTTTTTCAAGTTACTATTTATTGCAAATTACAACTACAATTTGAAAAAAAAAATTTTTTTTTTTTAGTGCATTGTTCTCAAAAAAAAAAAAAAAAAAAAAAAAAAGGTCTTTTTGTATGCAACTGTCCTTAAAAAAAAAAAAAAAATAATCCTTATTTATTATTAATTTAAATTATGAAAAATAATTATAATTTTTTATTTTCTTATATATAGATATGTTTAAAAAATAAAAAACAAAAAGGTTCATAGTAAAAACTACTATATGGCATATATAAGAAATAAAAATCCTTTCTTAAAAAGACAGAAACAAATTTTAAAATATTAAAAAAATATATTAAAAAATAGAATATATATATTAAATAAAGCATAATATAAATAAATAAGAAAAATTATATATATATATATATATATATATAATTAATAAAAACTCCAAAATATTATACTATAAATGTTGTTGAAAATATAATAAAAAAATAAAACAAAAATATATAATATAAATTAATTATATTTGTTTATATAAAAAAAATTATTTTTTCATAATTTATTTTTTAAAATGAAATTTTTAGTGTCAGTTTTATTTTTCATTTATTTTATAAATAGTTTTCGTGTTAATGGAATTAATCATTTATTTATGTGTGATTTTTATTTCAATCCTGCAAAATCTATTAAGCCAATTTTAGTAGGGAAACATGATGAAACTGAAGAAGTCGGGTGTACAATAAATAATCCAATTTTAGGAGAAATAGTTTTTTTAATATGTCCAAAAAGAAAAGAGGGAGACTATGAAAATATGGAATTAGTTCCTTCTAATTGTTTTGCTTCCCATCTTTATTCCCCTTATACTGCAGGGAAGAATGAAAAAGATATTGAAAAACTAGATATAGATAAAAAATATACTCACAGCTTTTCTTACGATGATTATGAAATTAAAACTTTTAGAGTACCAAGTATTTATAAGCACAATAAAACTATCTATTGTAGATGTGATAACAGAAAAACTGAAAAAGAACATAACGATAAAGAAAAATTTCAAGGAAAAACAGGGCTAGTTAAAATAATCCTCAGTGAAAAGATAGATAATTCAAATATTCTTGATTTTACAGATTCTAATATATCTAAAAACAAAAATATTAAAGTAAATGGAACGAATTATGAGATAGATTTAGTAGAAAATAATATATTTAGTGCTCGAATTGAGAACATAAAAGACGGAAATTTTGAAAATTGTAATGATATGTTATATGTGAAATTTAATAAAATAGATGAAAATGATTTTTCTATAAGAACTCCCACAATTTTTTTTGAGGATATTAATTGCAAAGCCACATTTATATCTACTGAAAATAAAACTTTTACAATTGTTATGAAGGCCAGTAAAACAGAAAATATAGAAGGTTGCGATTTTACTAAACCTAATGGAGATGGTATATATAAACATGGCTTTGTTTTAAATGATATATCAGATAATGAAAAAATATGTACAGCTTATATTGGATCAAGTAAAAAAAAAATTGTTGCTGGTATTAAATGTCCTTACAAATTAATCCCCACATATTGCTTTAGACATGTTCTTTATGAAAAAGAAATTAGTGGAAATAAAGTTTTTAAAACATTTTTATTAGAAGATATTTTAGGGTTTAGAGATATAGAATACTACAGTAACATTAATAATGGAAGTTATATTGTTGGGTTGCCTATCAAATCAGAAAGATATGCAGCTGTTAGATGTATTTGTGAAAATAACGGAAAGAGGGGAATAATGGAATTAAAAATTGCTTCTAGTTATACAAGTTTTATTAGTTTTATTTTGTTATTTATTACCATCATTCTTTTATATTTATCTTAATTTTATGATATTTTTACAAAGAATAGACTAATATATTATAATTATTTAAATATATCTATATTTTTTATTTGAATAAATACTTACATTTTTCTTTTTATTTAAATATATATATATATATGCATATATATATTGATTTTTTTAAGTTTTCATAATAATTAAAAAAAAATTTTTTTCTTGAAAAGTATTATTTTTTATCTATGAAGGTTCTGTATTTAATGATAGGTATCATATGGATATATACGTTTTTTTTTTT